TACAAGGACTGTGAATGCCAGGCCGAGACATTTATACCTAATTTGATAGGTAATGATGAGTTTTATTACCTTATATTCATTTAATGGGAAATTTGGAAATGGTCACACAGATAAAATGTATAGCCTTGTGTTGGATGTTATCTGTTTGCCCCTTCCAATCTGCCTTCACCTTGCTCTGTGGCCTGGAGGCTGGCTTATGCAGACTGAGTCAACAGTCTTGTCTTGGTCTCTGATTTCTCCCTAGAGGGAGCCTGGCATAAGTGGGGGTGGGGAGAAGTGCAGCTGAGGTCTTTAGTGCTCAGACCCATCCCAGTGGGTGGCATGGGCTAGCAACTAATCCTGCCTTATATTCTGGGTCATCTTACATTCTGGAAGTCAGAGGTAAAAAATCAGTTTTGCTGGGCTAAAATCCAGGTTTTAGCAGGGCTGTGTTCCTTCTGGAGACTATAGGGAAGAATCTGTTTCTTTGCCCTTTTCAAGCTTCTAGAGGCTGCCCAGATTCTCTGGCTCATGGCAGCACATCACTCTGACCTCTGCTTCCTTTGTCACATCCCCTTCTGTGCCTTGGATTCTCCTGCCTCTCTGTCTTTTCCTTATAAGGACCCTGTGATTCCAATGGGTCTATCTGGATGATATCAGATGAACTTCCCATTTTAAGATGCTTAATTTAATCACACCTTCAAGATACCTTGTGCCATGTAAGATAACATATGTACAAGTTCTGGGGGTCAGGAGATGCATATCTTTAGGAGAGGGCATTATTCCAACTACCATATTTGCCAACTGTAAGTATATCTTTGCCTAAACTGAAAGGATGAGTAAAAAAAAAAAAAAAAAGGTGTTTTTCAGATTATTAAATTAATGCAAGCTTGTCATAGAAAATCTAGAAGCTTCAGGAAAGTAGAAAGAAAACAACATCTCATTTAATCCTGGTCTCTTTTCTATGCATAGCATGGGTTTATTTGTTTGTTTGTTTGTTTGTTTATTTTTGAGAGACAGAGCACAAGCAGGAGAGGGCAGAGAGAGAGGGAGACACAGAGTCTGAAGCAGGCTCCAGGCTCTGAGCTGTTAGCACAGAGCCCGACACGGGGCTTGAACTCACAAACTGAGATCATGACCTGAGCCGAAGTCGGACGCTTAAATGACTGAGTCATCCAGGCGCCCCATAGCATGGGTACTTTTTAAATGAAATTGGGATCATGAAGTGAATGACTTCAGATGCTACCTTTTACATTTAACATATCATGAGCAATTCCCATGTCACTAACTACTGAGATGTCCATTTTATCAAAAGAGCTAAAAGGTGAGGAAAAATGCCCAAACTAATTTTTGGTTAAAATGGCAGGATCGGCAAGTGATTTTTGACTCAGTTTTAATACGTGTTTTCTTCTTTTACTATAAACCATGTCTTCCATGAAGGCTAACCCCACCTCTTAATCCAGAAACCCTCCAGCACTCACCTGTGTCAGAGAATACTCCAGGCACATATCTAGAGGAATTTCTGCACCCCCAAAATGATCAAGCCAACCACTCAGATTTTGCTGTGAATAACATTCACACTTTACACTGTTGCATGCAAATTACCAAGAAGCTGACTTACGTGAATAGCACATGAAAATTAATACACAAACACATATTACACACTCACTTTGGTGTGGGGAAAAAGACCACATGTGAATCTGTACATGCCCATTGACTACCAAGGGTGTCCATCTTTAAAACAGTCAATCAGGCTTGAACTGAGCTTAAAACACATCATAATCCAATTTCCTACATACAGGGTGTTAAACGATCTGAGATCGTGAGGGAAGAATTATCTCCACCCGCCCACTCTGATTCTTGAGTTGACTCAGGAGCTTTATCTAGAATAGATTAATTATCTCCAAGATTTTAAAAAACTGTTTAGACTATTGGGAATTAAGTTGAATGGGGGTCAAGGGTGGGAGATGGATTCCAAGGTAAAATTGTTATGTCCATATGCAACCTAAACTTAAGTGAGTATTGTTTTTTTTAAACACTTTTTTAATGTTATTATTTATTTTTGAGACAGAGAGAGACAGAGCATGAGCAGTGGAGGGCAGAGAGAGAGGGAGACACAGAATCTGAAGCAGGCTCCAGGCTCTCAGCTGTCAGCACAGAGCCCGATGCGGGGCTCGAGCTCACAGACTGTGAGATCATGACCTGAGCTGACGTCAGACGCTTAACTCACTGAGCCACCCAGGCGCCCCAAGTGAGTATTGTTTGAAGAGCACAGTCATTTTAAATTTTTCCCATAAGAATCCTATGTGTCAGATACAAACAACTGGGTAACAAATACTCTCTTTCAAGAAAAAAAAAACAACACCACCAAACATTGCTTAAGAATTACCATTGAAAATAAGCAACCTAAAAAGTAGAATTATCACTGTTCAAGTATAATGAATATACTCTGTTGTATCCAAGACATCATATGTTTTGATTGTCATGCTTAGCCCTTGCTCATGCTAAGATAAGCCGTAATTCATCATCTGAACCCTATGTCAGGCCAAATACATGAAAAAAACAAACACAGTAACACAAGTCAGAGATCGCAGCAAGGGTACTTCATGGGCTTATTATGCATAAGGTACACTTAAACAGGAGCAAGAATAATGCTCATGGATAAAAATGTGACATAAAACACATAATGACTGGGATACACTTAACAGGCTGATATCCAGCTGATCTCAGACTTCAAAATGTGGTACCTTGCCCAAAACCTCCCAGTCTTTTAAACCTTTTGAATTGGATACATATTTCTTCAAGGCAAAACTAAATTCACAGCAGTCATTTGAATACTCATTCCAAAATAAGTCTCCAACTCATTAAACACCACCTTTAAAAAGCTTGCAAACGTGATTTAGCTATTGTCTATCAAGTTTAGACATTTCATTACCAGTTGGTCCTACTACTATCTCTATTCTGTTTTCCACCTTTTGCTAATGCAAAGGAAACCATCAGACAGTTCTCAGCTTTTCAAACAGCTGACAACACAAATCGTGCCAGATATAAATATTTACATCGTCAAAAGTAAATGTTTCCAAAATTCCAAACTCCAGTGCTTTTGAAAATTGATTTGGATCAGGTACACTTTACTGAATTGGAAACATAAAAAAATATATATATCACTTTCAACAACAACAAAAATATCAAACCAAAACATATGAGTGCTTTTTAACACTAGGCTGTCTCCCCCATCTCTTCTTTCCCAATAAATTTAAGGGAGAAGCAGGCTTGAATTAATTATTTTTTTCTTTCACATCAATATTTTCCTCTAAGATGGGCTGATAGAAAGTGAGAATTATGTATCCATTCCTGTGTTAGATCGCCACCTTTCCCATCCCGTGCCCAGTGTGCTCTTGACTGAACAATGCTTCATTCGCTTGCCATAACTCAGGAAAAAGATCCAGCTCCTTAACACAGCCTCTAGATCTGGCCTCCATCTTCCTTTTCCATCTGTTCCTCCGGCCTATACCTCTATGGTCTCTGGGCTTCAGTCTTGCTGGTTACCTTTCAGCTAATTTCTGGAACTCAGGTCCCACCCCTCATTCTGAATTTTTACTGCTTCTCCCTCTGTGTAGGACACAAATTATTTCCTCCATCATCCTCCCCAAGAAGGAAAGAAAGACTGAGTACTCAAAAGTTCAACTTGCCCTTTACTGGTCAGTGGACCTACGCATGTTCGTGACTTGAATAAGAGAGGTGTGTGTAGAACCCAGGTTAAGTTCCCTTTAGAGTTTGTAAAAATAAAACTCCAAATGGACCAAGAATTTGGATAGGTTAATTTTTGTGGAATCAGAGCAATAAACTACATGACCTACATAGGACTTTTCTACACAAATGCTTCTCAAGTCCTATTTAAAATAACACACAGATACTACATAGAGAAATAGTTACAATCACGTGCAATGTCTTTAGAACTCACTTTGTGACTGGAGTCAAAGCCACTAACAACTCTTAAATAAGTCATTCGACTTTGGGTTTGTTTGTTTGGTTGGTTGGTGTTTTGGTGACAGATAATAGGAAAAAACATATTCCAATACATCAGAAGGGGGCAAAAATTCTTATAGATTCCATGATAAGTGAGGTAAACAGGCTGCGAATGTAGAGAGCAGAGCCCAAGAAATGCAAACCCTGGAGAATCAGCTGCCGGCAGTAACAAAGTTGTCCATAATTTTAATCCAAATTTCTTGGACACAAACGATTTTCCATTCCTCTTGAGTTCGCAATAACTAAATCACCTTCAAACACAATTTTTTGTGTGTGTGTGTTTTCCACTTTCAATGATCTACTCAACAGTAAAAGGTAGCCAAAAAGAAATTAGCCCACAAGAGAAACGCTAGAACCCAGCGACGAGAAGATCCCCATGGGCATCATGCCCTTCCACACTTGAAGGCGGAGTGCATCGGGGGAGGTTGGTGGGGGGAAGGGACACTGGTATGAGAATGACAAGGCACAACTCAGCATTTCTGTGCAGAAGTTAGGATTCTTAGCCAGCAAGATGCCCCTAAGAAGATTAATTGTTGATTTTCTTATAAATCATCTAAGGTGATTTTTGTTTGTTTTTCTTTCCAAAATGATAAGTATCTGATTTTACTTTTGTTAAACAAATTATTCTTTCACTTTGTTGAAGTTAAAAGAAGCCCCAGTAAAGAGGTTTCTGAGAGGAGAGATTTTCCCAGTGTGATATGCTTGGGAAGCAACACTGCTTTCTGACCTTCATGGGGTACTGAGGGATAGGGCCTCCGGCAACCTCCAGGGGGTACAAAGTAATTAGAGAAGCATGAGGGTTTGACCAGCTAGAGAGAGAAAGTACAATTTAGACATAATTATATTTGTTGGCAGTAAGCCTGAGGTCTTTGATTTCACTCCTAGGTGGAAAGACAAACCCATCACAGAGAAGCAGACCTGTAAGACTAGCTTTCAGAATCGGCATCTCTCGGCGTCCTCAACTTCACAATGGAAGCAACATGGCTGCTTACCTTCCTGCCCCCAGTATTGATGCGAAGGGGCGTCAGAAAGGGGTCGAAGATCATGTGACTGGTCTCGATGTTGACTGGCGACTGCCGTTTACCCACAGAGCAAAGGTTCCAAGCTGAGTTCACCAATCCCCAGAAAGAAGGAACTAGAAACAAACAAACAAACAATTGTAGGATTAGTCCAGGTGGAAGGTTTGAGAAACTATGCAAAAGGGCCATGGCACAAAAAGGGTGACATCAGAGACAGACACCTAATATTTCCCACCCATAAAGACCCCTGGGTGTTGCTATGGTATTTTCCTGACTTGGATCTTGGTCAATTTCTCTAAGGTCCACCTTCAGATTTTTTTGTGTCAGATCCATTCACCTTGTGGCCTCTTGGATGAGTACAGTTGGCATTAACACCTTAATGGGAAGACAGCATAGTCCACCTGCATCATCTTTTCATGTGGAGGTACACCAGAGTTTTAGTAATTCCTGAGCTGATGCTCCACTTTTCTGTGTGGCAGGAGTGATGTGGGAATCAACCTTGTCCTATACAGTAGGTATTGAAAGCTTTTCAAAGAAAGTAGCATTCGACATATGCAAGGTATTATGTATTCTGTGGGTTGTCGAAACCAAACTGAGGGAGTGAATTACTTTTATGACCCCAATCAATGCCAGACAGGAGCTCAGCAACATGACTCTGTCTTTGTTTAGTCCAGCACTGTGTCACTAACCTAATGTACCAGCAGCTCAAGAATGCATTCACTTGATAGGAAGAGAAAAATGACTTGGGAGTACTGAGTCCAAATATCCAAAGGGGAAATGTCTACTCCTCTTCAGTATCATATTAAAAATTGACGGAAATAAATTTCTATGGCAATTTCCAGTTATTTTCTTCTGTTTAAGAAAGTCAGCAGAGCAGTGGGGAGCCAGTTACTAATTTCATGTCATGGAAGATCACAGACTATATCTTCAGCCTTTTCCTGCCCAGACCCCCACCCCCAGCTCAGTATTTCCACTGAGGCTCTGGATCCATCTCTACGTGGCCTTGAGATTATATGGTCATCATTCGCTCATCCACCCGCAGCGTCCATCAACACTACAGTAAGCTCCTGGTGCATGTTCAGCCCTGGGTTAGGCTGAATTTAGAGGAAGGGAGTTACGTACAAGAACAATTATCACACTGTGGTGGTGGGTGGCTGCAGGATGAGGCAAGTGGGTTATAAATCTCTAGGTGAGGGCACTGAACCCTGAAGCAGCGGAAGTGGAGTTTGGGAGTGATTCCTAGAGAAGATGAACCTAACAACCAAGTCACGACCCTCCCAGATGCACCTGTCCTCTCAGGAACTCAAGTTTAATTCAGCCTTTAACTTACGGTAGCCATCATTCCTTCTCATGTCACAGATGGAGAAAATTGAGGCAAGAGAGGAGTATGGTAAATACTTGCCAAAGATAGTCTATAAGAGACCCGTAATTCGGGAGAAGAATTGGGCTGGATGGCACGTCTAGTACCACCGAAATCCAAAACTCTATGAACCTTTTATTTGTTACAGGCCATTGTTGGGCAGAAGTGGGAGGAAAGCCAAAAACAAGTTCCTCAGATTCTTAGAAGCCTGTTTCAATACCAAAATAAGGTGAGGTTCCTTGTGAAATAAGGAAAATATCTAATTTGGCTTAACCCATTCAATGAGCATATCTGCTGGTTCCATTCCCTTTAGTTTAAAGAGCTTGAACTGGTTTTCCAGCTATAACTGATAAAATGACAGCCATGGCCAGAGTAAGAGGGGTAAAAGAGAAGAAGGTGGAGTAGAAAGAAGAGCCTGTATGTGTTCCTTGGCACTTTCATTTCCCCTTATTATTTAAGTTCTATTATCGCTGCAAGTCACTTAACATCTTTAGAAAGTACCATGCCCTAGCCAAATTATAATATTTAAGAAAGCTCTTGAATTAAACATGTATTTAAAAAATATATAAACAGAAGTCTTCTCTAAACTATTTTTAAATCACCAAAAATCCTATATTTATTCCTCAATCATTTCCAGTTTCTTATGAAAATAAAGCTTCCCTCAGTGCCTGCTCCCACCTATCTTTGTCAGCGATGCACATCAACGTGGAAGCTGTGGGGATTCCAGGGATATAGCCATGGCACTGCCACAGATCAGTTGTGTGACTTTAGATAAGGCATTTATCCCTTGGGCTTTGGTTGGTCTCTACAGTCTGTGTGGTAGGCTGAATAATGGCCCTCCTTCAAAGATGTCCACATCCTAATATGTTACCTTCCATAGGCAATGGTGCTGTGCAGAAATGATTAAGTTAAGGGTACTGAGATGATTATCCTTGATTGTCTGGGTGAGCCCAATGTAATCAAAAGGATCTTTTTTAAGAGAGAGGGGCAGGAGGGTCAAAGATTTAGAGAAAAGCTCTAGGGATGGAAAGAGAGTCAGAGAGGAAAGAAGATACTGGCATGGAAGATGGAGGAAGAGGACAGGAGCTAAGGTGACTTCCAAAAGCTGGAACTGATGAAACAACAGATTCTTCCCCTAGAGCCTCCAGAAGGAACCACCAGCATGCTGACCCTGGTTTTAACCCCATAAGACTCATTTGGGGCTCCCTCATCCCTGAACTATAAGATGATAAATTTGTGATGTGTTAAGTCCCTAAGTTGTGATTACTTATTACAGCCACAGTAGGAAATGAATACAGCCCCTTTTATTTTTAACACTCCGTGAGACCAGAGCCTCTTGGACAGCCGGGCCACCTATGATGTGTGGGGGGCTTCCCCTGGAAGGCAGCTGCACAATAAATGTAGTTACAGCTATAGCACACAGTGCATTTCATCTATTCCCATGAAAATCATTAACAAAAATAATTCCAACCCTATAAATGGACTGCGAGACTGCTGATAGATGGCAGCACGTGTGGGCAGGTGCTGCTGTGCCTTCCTAACAAACCTCCCACCCCAAAAGCACCCCCACAAAAACACAAACAACAAAAACTTTATGCGAACATCTGCCTTTGCTTTTATTGGGCATGGCATTCTTTATGACAAACAGTTTCAGGGTTTTATATTCCCACTTCACCATCAAGGCCTAAGTGTCTGGTTCTAACCACCTGCTCAGACAACTGAGGAATGGCTTGGAGGCTGGGAGGCTGGGAGGCACGCACCCCTGCTCCGTTCCTGAAGGGGTACCTGCGTTTGCTCCCCACTAGACTGCTCACTTGAAATCAGCCATGGATTCATTGTCTTTCAGAAACAGAAGCCACCTTAGAGATCATCTGGCCTAAACACGTTCATGAAATCAAGGACTAAACAGCAGAGGGTGACGTCCTCAACCTGAGGCCACACAGCCAAGGGAGAGGCAGGGGGAAACAGAGTAAGGACCAATGCCTGGGTCTCAAGATTCCTGGTGCTTCTCCACCTCCCTTCCTTCCCAGCAGGCTCCATAGGAGGGCATATTACTGTAGCCAGGGAGTTTCAGAGTTAATTGTTGCCATGGCCAACTGTAGACTTTGCTACCCTTTCTTTTTTGGTAAATCAAAAGTAACATCAGTGCCCATTTGCTAGTTAAAATACATTTCAAGTGCCAAGGTTCAAATCAAACTGCTTTGAATGTCAACCATCCCAAATAAAATTAGGATTTTTAAAAAGCCATACAGGGGAGCGCTTGGGTGGCTCAGAAGTCTGTTAAGCGTCCGACTTCAGCTCCGGTTATGATCTCATGGTTCATGAGTTCGAGCCCTGCATTGGGCTCTGTGCTTTCAGCACAGAGCCCGCTTCAAATCCTCTGTCCCCGCCTCTCTCTCTGCTGCTCTTCCTCTCAAAAATAAATAAATGTTAAAAGCAAAAAAAAAAGCCATATATCTATGACTGTGTTAGGAAAAAAAAAAGGCTTCAATCCAGGAAAGAGTGGATGAGCTTGGGTCTCATCTGCAGGGCCCCAAGGAAATCTAATGGGGATGACTGCTCATGAAGAGAGGCTCCAGGGGTTGTGTCCTGGGCCCAGCTGGACTGGGCCAGGTTCTACAGTCCAATGAAAGAAGCCAATGCTCTTAGAATCAGTGTTTGGTGTTGGGACAATAATGAAGGTGTCAAAACCAGTCCAGGGAACTCAGGTACCAAAAGGATCAACTCAAATGTCTGCAAATGTGGTGTAATCTAGGTTCTAGGGAAATGCATTAGGAGGAAGGCTCTGGAGACAGGAGGGCATGGAGATCCCACGCTTATTGGGGCATGGGAGTAAGCCTGCACACTTTACCTGAAGAACAAGGCTGGACATGTAAACTAAGGCTTCAAGAGTTAGAGTCAGAAACTCTCCCTCTGGCTTTGTGCAGACCATTATCCCCAGCATTCTGACACTTAACCATCCTGCATGTTATTGATCCTTCAGGTTAATAAACACCCCATGTCACCCCTGGGAGCAGAATTGCATTGCAGGATACTATGGCACTGCTTCTACTTCCAAATTTAGAGAACCGCTACAGAATTCTTTTTCTCTTAGTTTCCATGACTGTCCCCGTGAATCAAATTTGCAGACTTTCCATCACATTTAAAAACCATCAGTTATTATGACTTATTGGCTAATGCTGTGTCTTTTTCTAGCTTGACTGTACACCTTATTAAGAAAATAATGTAAATGTACATAAAAGAAAACTGAGTGAGAATCACTCTAACCAATTAATGGACAAGTGGTCTGAAATTGAATGGCATCATCAGGGCCATCCTTTTCACACAATCTTCTAATTTACATATAAACTAGAACACACAACAGACCAGGATGGTTTTGCAAATTAATTTCTGCAGAGCCCAAACGATGGCACTTAACTGCTGCATCATGACCATGTGTAATTTTGCCAAAACATCTCCCCATGGCAATGCTGTATTGTTACCATAAACCACAAATCCCAAGCAGTCTCTTGGCTCAGGGTCCAGCGAGCTATGAAAGACTGGGATTTCAGCTGCTTAAAACATGAGCCTTGGAAAACCCAAAGCAAAACCTATCAGCTGCTCGTTCAAAACCAGTGAACCAAAAAAGCCCCAGTTTAGTTTATTAACACATCATGGTAACTCCCATACAATAACGAAAAAGTTCTTACCAAAACAAGAAATAGATCAGGAGAGCAAGGAACCAGAGGAATCAAGGCTAATATTGAGAGTTAAAAT